ATCAAGCAAGGTGTTGGGCAAGGTAGAGTCTTGTCGTCCTGGTTTTTCCTTGTTTTTATTAATGATTTGATATGTGAACTTAGAGATTTGAACAATGGCATTTGTGTAAGTGGCATTTATATATGTACAAATAGAATTATTATCTGAAGATGAAATGTTATCACTATTTTCTGGGGTGAACTACTAGTTACTAACGATATTGATGAAATGTCATGGAGATGTATGATTGTCCTCTTCTATAAATACCTATATTCCTTGCTTCCCTCACTAAACTGTGCATTCTAGACCTTTCATTTTTCTTTGTACATGTATATATGACTATATGAATGTCTTGTAAACATATTGCTGTGATTATGTTGCTGTAAATATTTCATGTACATGTTTATAATGATCTTCGGACTACAATCTGGAGGAAATAAAGAGATTCATTCATTCATTCATTAATTTGAAGAGAAGAGGACATCCTCGGTATTATTTTGGGAAGAGAATATGTATCGATAACACTGACAATAGAGACTTCTTCAGACAGAGTGGTACTTTTGTGGACAGAGAATGTCAAACATCCTCACATAAACACTGTTCTCCATATAGAGAAAGACTTTTTTGGTAAAAATGTCATCTTGGAATGTGGTGAATTCATAGCGAAATCTGAAGTGTTGTATGTCTCGAGCTTTTTTAGCTGTACATGCCTTGTATATAATAGTAATGATAGTAGGAGACGTAGATGTAGCAGTAGTAGTTGCAATATAGTAGTTTACCAATATTCCAGCGATATCACGGCGGGGAACACCAGAAATGGTCTTCAAACATTGTACCAATGTGAGGAATCGAACCCGGGTCTTCAGCGCGACGAGCAGGCGCTTTAACCATTAGGGCTAAACTACCGCCCGGTAGTAGCAGTAGTAGTAGTAGTAGTAGTAGTAGTAGTAGTAGTAGTAGTAGTAGTAGTAGTAGTAGTAGTAGTAGTAGTAGTAGTAGTAGTAGTAGTAGAAGTGGTTGTAATAGTGGTAGTAGAAGTAAGAGTAGTAGTAGTAATAGTAGTATACTTAAAATTGTGAACCAATCGAAGAAGTGAACCAATAGACCAGTGATAGTTCTGGATTTTTTATTTATCCATTACAAACTGATTATGATTTGTATTGATGCTCACCTAATTATTCATCCTAAATATGGAAATGTCGAAGCACAACGATCAATCATCAGGTCCAATTATATTTATGTTTTTAGGTATTTAAGTAATTTTCCATTTACGATTTAGCGAGTGCTGTCGTTTGACTGCCCTATTTTCCACAATAAGGTTTGATGTCTTCTACAATCTGATGCCAGGCATGCAGCTCCCGAGATGATTACATTACATATACATATACTGAACGCCCGACATATGACAATAGTTGACCGGTGATGGCTGGTGGCTATGGCAACACAGTGCCTTCCACATGTAGGTGTTCTTTAACTTGATTGGGGTAGAATATACAAGATAAAGGTCAGCAGAAAGAAATAAACTAATTCGTACGAATGGTAAATCTTAACTTGACGACTAAGTTTCAATATAGCTGATGCACTGTGGCTGATGCTTCCGTGACATTTGGCGATAAAATGATATTCCTAATTAAACTCCAACCACTAACAATCGTTATTAGTCTGTTGGTGTAACCTGCCTAAAGTGTAAGCTTGAGGGATATATCTACTCCCTGCTCTGACACATTAGAAGCAATGCAAAAAGCCATTGATCAAATTATAGAAACCTACAGCCATTGTAATCTAACAGTGATGATAGGTGCGCTCGTAAAACAAACGTTTTGCTGACAAACCGATCTCTGTCTTCTATGGATTTTCAAAACCATGGTTTCGAAAAGCTCTGATCTAAATACATATGCCGCTAAACACGACAGCGTGCCATCGGCCATCCCGATAATGGAATTTTGGTTAAATTGCCCGGATGAACTTGCCGCTGTAGCCCTAAGGCATAGCTCTGCCACATTTCATCTTCTTCTAGGAGGATTTTAAGGATACGTCCCATTTTCTGAGATATCTGATTACGATTCTGACACAATTTGTTCCAATTTAAACCTCGGTTTTAGTTGAAGTCTAGTGGCATGATGAAGGGAAGTCAGGCTCTCGTCTTGTCAAAGAGACCTTCTGACACTTTGACGAGTCACCATGGAACCTGTGTCCCGAGATCAAAGGTGGAGTTACTGTATCTTTGGCATCCTTTAAATTTTAAAGACCAAAATACGAAAACTATCAATTACACGTTAGTTCTACCTGTGGACATGGAGCTTTAAAAAAGAGGAAATCAATGCATGTCCATTCAGTTCTCCGCTAATGTTGTTACCAAGGAACGCCGATGATGTCTTTCATCTCTAGTTAATCTGATTGTGTGGATTCTTTCTCTTCCCAAGACAAGTAGAGAAGAAACGGAGTTTGAGATGAATGCATTTGCGTCCGCTCTAATATTGATGTGTAAAGAATGGACGAAATGTTATTTGTGTGTGATATGTGTGTGCGCGCGCGTTTGTGTGTTTATGTACGTGCGTGCATGTGTGTGCGTAAGTGCGGGGGCGTGCCCGTGTCTGTGTCAGCGTGCCTGAGTACGTTTGAGGTTGGGTAGGGGGTAACATGCTACAGTTGAGTACATCATTTAGCGGATTCGGAGAGAGCACAGAGTGAGGTTACAACGTTGCTTCATGACCGGGTTTCGATTCCAAACATTGGTACAACTAAACCCATCCTTAACAGGACTGAAACAATGCTGAAGGAGAGGTAAAGGATATAGCGTCTACTCTGCGCCGGCATTGGAACCAATTTGTGGTCCAGACCATGATCTCAGTGAATTTCATCATACCGATCACTGCTATGTGTACCTCGAGGCTCAGACTGAAGGCCGGGGAAATATGATTAAAGGGTTCGCACGTAAGTGGGTATAATGTGTGAAGTCGAGTGTGATGTCTCCGCCGTGATGGTGCGGGAATATTGCTAAAAGCGGCGTAAAACTTTACTCATTCATCTTCTTTATCAGTCAGAAAAGTTGAATTAGTTCTCCCTTCGAAATATATGACCTGTATGTTTATGCATAGTATAGGAGGGTATTTCCGTTTTCACGTCAGTGGTTTTGAATAACCCTCCACTAGCTCCGACCTCTGCATCTGTATATATGTATCGATCTGGCCAGGATAAAGTAGGATTACGCGGCGTCAATTAGGCAAGGGCAGACAAACAGACAAACTTGGTTAACCAGACGCCACTTTTCTTGTCTGTAAACTGCTGACAGGCTTAGTTCCGATAAATTGGATACGTGTACATGCACTGGACCTAACCTGAACGTGAGGTAAGCTCGACCGCAACCTGGATAGAACTGAGGTACACTTATAACCTGTGATGGAACTGTGGTAGACCTATGACCTGAGATGGAGCTATGGTAGACCTATGACCTGAGATGGAACTGTGGTAGACCTATGATTTGAGATGGAACTGAGTTAGACCTTTGACCTGAGAACGAACTGAGGTTGAACTATGACCTGAGATGGAACTCAGATAGACCTTGGACCTGAGATGGAACTGAGTAAGACCTTTGACCTGAGATCGACCTGAAGTTGACCTATGACCTGAGATTGAACTAAGTTAGACCTTTGACTTGAGATGGAACTGAGTTTGACCTTTGACTTGAGATGGAACTGAGTTAGACCTATGACCTGAGATGGAACTGAGTAAGACCTTTGACCTGAGAACGAACTGAGGTTGAACTATGACCTGAGATGAAACTGAGTTAAACCTTTGACCTGAGATGGAACTGAGTAAGACCTTTGACCTGAGATAGAACTGTGTTAGACCTGTAACCTAGGATGGAACTGTGGTAGACCTATGACCTGAGATAGAACTGTTAGACCTGTAACCTGCTGTAACCTAGGATGGAACTGTGGTAGACCTATGACCTGAGATAGAACTGTTAGACCTGTAACCTGAGACGGAACTGTGGTAGACCTATGACCTGAGATAGAACTGTTAGAGCTGTAACCTGAGATGGAACTGTGGTAGACCTATGACCTGAGATAGAACTGTTAGATCTGTAACCTGAGATGGAACTGTGGTAGACCTATGACCTGAGATAGAACTGTTAGACCTGTAACCTGAGATGGAACTGTGGTAGACCTATGACCTGAGATAGAACTGTTAGACCTGTAACCTGTGATGGAACTGTGGTAGACCTATGACTTGAGATGGAACTAAGGTAGACCTTTGACCTGAGATGGAACTAAGGTAGACCTTTGACCTGAGATGGAACTAAGGTAGACCTTTGACCTGAGATGGAACTAAGGTAGACCTTTGACCTGAGATGGAACTAAGGTAGACCTTTGACCTGAGATGAAACTGAGGTTGATCTATGACCTGGGATGGAACTGGGATGGAGTTAGATCTCTGACCTGAGTTGGAACTCAGTTAGACGTATGACCTGAGATGGAACTCAGACGTATGACCTGAGATGGAACTCAGTTAGACCTATGACCTGAGATGGAACTGAGTAAGACCTTTGACCTGAGATCGAACTGAGGTTGACCTGTAACCTGAAATGGAACTGAGTTATACCTTCACCTGAGATGGAACATAAGTAGACCTATGACCTGAGAAGGAACAGAAGTAGACATTTGACCTGAGATGGAACTGAGGTAGACCCTCGACCTGAGATGATATGTGTTGGTATTTAGAACTTTCTTGTTTCGAAAAGACTAACCTGTCTCTACTAATTCTTACAATCCAATGCTTATCCGACCTCTAAACCGTCGAACTGGGTGTGTCGAATGTTCGGATATCTCGAAACTGTTTTGGTTCACCCCAGTAAACAGATAACAGTAAGCATGAAGCGAACGTAAGTAAAGATAAACGATAAACATTTGAAGCATTTGACATTGCATTTATACAAAGTGGTCTATGATGTACTGTGTTTTTAATTTGTAAATGCCGCCAGAAAAAAATTCTCTTTTTTCCTTCATTTTTTTTAAATTTTATTTTATTTTGGATGAAAGAAACCTCTTCTCAGCACGTGTTGAGTTGTTCACAACAGCATTCAACGGTATTCTAACCCGAACATCATCATCGTCGACTGCCTTTGTCACAACCAACACCATTCCGTAGCTCCCTATCTCTGGGAATGATGAAACATGAAACCTAAACAGTGAATTCCTATTATCTGAACACAGTCAACATTGGTCGAGATACAAAAGCGGCATTTTCCAGCCTTGTCACAGCAGCACAACCTAATATAATGAAAGCAGTTGAGCGTACAGACACGATGGCTCGCCATGAGACTCCAGGTGTGTCGATAACGACAGCACCAGCTGTGGCCCGGCTTTGTTAGCTGGTATATCATCACGTGTGTCTGTAATCCGATACCGGCACAGTCCATTTCCGTGCCTCGGGGTATTATATAATTAGAGACATTGTACTCCGACTGAGTCCCAGTCATATAGGTTCCTCGGCTCCAACATTGGTACATCCCTTCGACAGTGGGTGAATGTTGTTTCACCACCACCTGTGAACCCTTTGTCATGTGTCCCACCACCTGTAAACCTCTTTTCATGTGTCTCACCACCTGTGAACCTCTTGCCATGTGTCCCAACACATGTATACCTCTTGATATGTGTCCCACCACCTGTAAACCCCTTGTCATGTGTTCCACCACCTGTGAACCTCTTGCCATGTGTCCCACCACCTGTAAACCTCTTGCCATGTGCCCCACCACCTGTAAACCTCTTGTCCATGTGCTCCACCACCTGTAAACCTCTTGTCATGTGTCCAAACCATCTGTAAACTCCTTGCCATGTGTCCCACCACCTGTAAGCCACTTGCCATGTGTCTCACCACGAGTAAACCTCTTGTCATGTGTCCTACCACCAGTAAACCTCGTGTCATGTGTCCCACCACCTGTAAACCTCTTGTCATGTGTCCCACCACCTGTACACTTCTTGATATATGCCCCACCACCTGTAAAACCTTCTTCCACTTTCTCTCACCGGCTGTACACCACTTGCCAGGTGTCCCACCATCTGCACACCTCTTGCCTTGTGTCCCACCACCTGTAAACCACTTGCCATGTGCCCCACCACCTGTAAACCTCTTCTCATGTGTCTCACCACCTGTGAACCTCTTGCCATGTGTCCCAACACATGTATACCTCTTGATATGTGTCCCACCACCTGTAAACCTCTTGCCATGTGTCCTACCACGAGTAAACCTCTTGTCATGTGTCCTACCACCAGTAAACCTCGTGTCATGTGTCCCACCACCTGTAAACCTCTTGTCATGTGTCCCACCATCTGTAAACTCCTTGCCATGTGTCCCACCACCTGTAAACCCCTGTCATGTGTCCCACCACATGTAAACTTCTTGCCATGTGTACCACCACCTGTAAACCCCTTGCCATGTGTCCCACCACCTGTAAACCCCTTGCCATGTGTCCCACCACCTGTGAACCTCTTGCCATGTGTCCCACCACCTGTAAACCTCTTGCCATGTGTCCCACCACCTGTAAACTTCTTCTAATGTGTCTCACCACCTGTATACTCCTTGCCATGTGTCCCACCACTTGTGAACCCCTTGCCATGTGTCCCACCACCTGTAAACTTCTTGATATATGCCCCACCACCTGTAAAACCTCTTCCACTTTCTCTCACCAGCTGTACACCACTTGCCAGGTGTCCCACCATCTGCACACCTCTTGCCATGTGTCCCACCACCTGTAAACCACTTGCCATGTGCCCCACCACCTGTAAACCTCTTCTCATGTGTTTCACCACCTGTGAACCTCTTGCCATGTGTCCCAACACATGTATACCTCTTGATATGTGTCCCACCACCTGTAAACCCCTTGTCATGTGTCCCACCACCTGTGAACCTCTTGCCATGTGTCCCATCACCTGTAAACCTCTTGCCATGTGTCCCACCACCTGTAAACTTCTTTTCATGTGTCTCACCACCTGTGAACTCCTTGCCATGTGTCCCACCACTTGTGAACCTCTTGCCATGTGTCCCACCACCTGTAAACCTCTTGATATGTGCCCCACCACCTGTAAAACCTTTTCCACTTTATCCCACCATCTGTACATCACTTGCCATGTGTCCTACCATCTGTAAACCTCTTGCCATGTGTCCCACCACCTGTAAACCCCTTGCCATGTGTCCCACCATCTGTAAACCTCTGTCATGTGTCCCAACACCTGTAACCTCTTGCCATGTGTCCCAACACCTGTAAGCCTCTTGTCATGTGACCCACCACCTGTAAACCCCTTGCCATGTGTCCCACCACCTGTAAGCCACTTGCCATGTGTCCCACCACCTGTGAACCTCTTGCCATGTGTCCCATCACCTGTAAACCTCTTGCCATGTGTCCCACCACCTGTAAACTTCTTCTCATGTGTCTCACCACCTGTATACTCCTTGCCATGTGTCCCACCACTTGTGAACCTCTTGCCATGTGTCCCACCACCTGTAAACCTCTTGATATATGCCCCACCACCTGTAAAACCTCTTCCACTTTCTCTCACCAGCTGTACACCACTTGCCAGGTGTCCCACCATCTGCACACCTCTTGCCATGTGTCCCACCACCTGTAAACCTCTTGCCATGTGCCCCACCACCTCTAAACCTCTGTCATGTGTCCCAACACCTGTAACCTCTTGCCATGTGTCCCAACACCTGTAAGCCTCTTGTCATGTGACCCACCACCTTTAAACCCCTTGCCATGTGTCCCACCACCTGTGAACCTCTTGCCATGTGTCCCACCACCTGTAAACCTCTTCTCGTGTGTCCCACCACCTGTAAACCCCTTGCCATGTGTCCCAACACCTGTAAACCTCTTGTCATGTGTACCACCACCTGTTAACCCCTTGCCATGTGTCCCACCACCTGTAAACCCCTTGCCATGTGTCCCACCACCTGTAAACCCCCTGTCATGTGTCCCAACATCTGTAAACCCCTTGCCATGTGTCCCACCACCTGTAAACCTCTTGCCATGTGTCCCACCACCTGTAAACCCCTTGCCATGTGTCCCACCACCTGTAAACCCCTTGCCATGTGTCCCACTACCTGTAAACCCCTTGCCATGTGTCCCACCACCTGTAAACCCCTGTCATGTGTCCCAACACCTGTAAACCCCTTGCCATGTGTCCCACCACCTGTAAACCCCTTGTCATGCGTCCCACCACCTGTCAACCCCTTGCCATGTGTCCCTCCACCTGTAAACCCCTTGCCATGTGTCCCACCACCTGTAAACCCCTGTCATGTGTCCCAACACCTGTAAACCCCTTGCCATGTGTCCCACCACCTGTCAACCCTTTGTCATGTGTCCCACCACCTGTCAACCCCCTGTCATGTGTCCCACCACCTGTAAACCCCTTGCCATGTGTCCCTCCACCTGTAAACCCCTTGCCATGTGTCCCGGCACATGTATCTATTATTGTGTTGCAAACAACATGTCGGGTCTTGAACATTACAGTCGTAGGTACATTTTCATCTTTTCATAGAAGCCGGTGTCTCTGTTTTCCAATGTCTGTCTTGTTTTCCAATGTCATTTCCGGTCTCTTGCTGGTCCTGATACCTTCTTGTGTACGACGGGCCAAGAATATACGTGCAATCTAGCCACCAGGCTTGTCACACTTTGAACATGACGTCATCACATGTTTTTTTCAGATTTTTCCGGATATTTCATCGACCATTTTTTCAGCAACCTTGACCTTTTGCAAGCTCTTGGGCAGGATCGGCTGACCCGGTTGAATCATCTCCTGTTTTTATCATGATTCTCTGTCAGTCATGAGTGTTGGCCAATATGAATTTGTCGCTACTGTTTTAGGTTCGGTTCGGACTACCTCTGTGGTCTAGGCGATGTCCATTCCTGGAGCTCGTCACTAAGGACTTGTCGGCTCGGAGTCAGTATAATGTGTCTGAGAAGCATTAAACTGTGATATACTCCATGGGAAAACTTACACATGAATTATCGCTGAATTTGGTTTTACAGTGAGGTACGAAAACATAACGTATTATACCTGAATACAATGGACATATCATTGACCATGTGGGCATGGGTGATCGCGCCGTCTAAGGTGAACAGTTTGGTAAGAAGAGTCGCCTCCCTCAGGTGTGAAAGGAACTTGTGAGTCCGGAGACCAGATTCACCTTAATTTTGTTTTAGGTTTGTCAACACGATATTTATACTCCTCCGTCGCTTTGGCGTTCCTCTCCCAGTCGCCATATTGCTGGAAAATGTCTGAGTGAGGCGTGAAACAACAACAACAAAACACTTTCGGACACGCCAACCTGACACGCCGGGATGAAGCAGAAACATTGTCCTTGGGTGCCTCAGGCTCAACTCATCTTCTTACAAAATAGTTTGACCATATATTAATCCAGTCCCTGGTTGGAAGCAAAACAACTTTCTCGAGATCCCTCATTTTATTTTGGGTTTGAAAACTAAGCACAAGGATTTGAAACACGATGCAATAGCCATCGTTAGCCAAACATATACAAAATATGTCTTTGAAGATTTCACTTTGTCGGTGTCTTTCCCTCTTACCAGACACTCGGGATGATTAAACTGGCTTAGAGAAACACGGTCTCAGATGTTACAAAACACGGTCTCAGATGTTACACTGCCTCACACTGTTATCCCTGACAGCAGCCAGTTAGTATTAAACTCCCAGTCAACACCAGAGACTGATAAGTCCAGGTAAAATCTGCCGATTCCCTGATAAAATAGTGACAAAGAAGTATGGTATAGCTCACTGATATTCAATGATGACATCAAGACACGATAAGCATGTTTGTTTGTTTGCTTGTTTCCTAACGCCCCTGTGATTGATATTGTGAGCAAGGATTCACGAGGTAGGGTGTTTACATATTCTGTCCCCAATTTTGAAAATCCAGAAGCGACCATATTTTGATGAATTCTTCCGAGTTGGATTACTTTCACGTGATCACATGAAACGAATTGTCCCACATCCACTAAAGATTGTCTTGCAAACAAAACACCAGTTGGTTGGAGACTGTGTAGTTTCTCCTTCACTTTGTACAATCCTTCATGTTATGATAACTGTCTATTGCGTTTAAGTCTAAGAATGTTGTGTCCAGGTATTGTCATTATGGAACATATCATTGTCGCAATCCCCAAAACGTAAAACCCATGTCCATGATTCACGTGTAGTATGTTGGTGCAGACGCTCTTCCTTGTACAGCGGGGCGGTGGGGTAGCCTGATGGTTAAAGCGTCCGCTCGTTACGCCAAAGACCCAGGTTCGATTCCCCACATGGGCACAATGTGTGAAGCCCATTTCTGGTGTCCCACGCCGTGATATTGCTGGAATATTGCTAAAGGCGGCGTAAAACACAACTCACTCACTCACTCCTTGTACAGCGTCAACGATCGTCCACGCAATCCTTATCACAGCTGTACCGATATTAAACATCACGTCCAAGTTTGCTTCTATTCATTTGCATAATTCAGTAATTATGGTAGTATGGACTGTGACTTTACCTCGCGAGTGTGGGTTGTTTACTTTATATCTGTCATCTCCGCGTCCTTTCAACAAAAATGCGGATTGAATACCTTCAAAGCACATACATCGTTTTTTATCATTAACGTTGCATTTAAGTAAACACGTTCGAAATTTAACATGAAGCCGATCAATTCTTTCTTACAATCTCACCTTTTTCAGACACATTAAAGAAGAGTTATAGAAATGTGTTGCTTGTGCTGTAAGAAATGTATTTCTTGAACGAACTTTTTAATCGAAACGCTTCACGTATTACACAACTCCACATATTCTTTTGAAAAATTTAGCTAGAAAAAATATGTCTTGTATTAGTTTTGGTATTAGCTCTGGTGGCAGTTTGCGTTGAGGATGTTGTTGTATGAATGATGTAAGTATAGCTACATGGCGTTGCCCTTGGCTGCTCGTTATAACACCGGTCTGGCTTAACCCTGGTGTGTGACGTGATTCTTCAGGCTAGATCTGGTGTTCTCCAACTGACAGTGTTGCTCCGAGAAAAACAGGCTAATACATACTTCTTATATATGAGAATCTTTACTGTAATTTAATTTGATTTTAACAACAGCCCTGCCATGGCAATACTCAAAACAAGTACAGAGCAGGCATGTCAAATTAAATTAATTTGGACGGTTCGAGCAGATGTGTCACTTTGTCTCTACCTGGCATCAAATACTGAATACTGAATGTAGTGCTGTAACATCGCATTGTCATCATGGTGTGTCGTACTACCATCATGGAGCGTGGTAATGTCATCATGGAGCGTCGTAATGTCATCATGGAGCGTCGTACTGTCGTCATGGGGGGTCGTAATGTCATCATGGAGCGTCGAGCTGTCGTCATTGAGAGTCGCATTGTCATCACGGAGTGTGGTACTGTCATCATGGAGTGTCGTAATGTCATCATGGAGAGTGGTACTATCCTTTGGTCGTAACGTGAAATGTATCTCATGTATCTTTAAGTTGCTATGTCTTATCAAGAAACTCAGTATCGTATTGTACTTAGTCTATCACTTGGCTGCAATGTCGTGATGTCAAGAGTGGGAAAACGAAATACGTTGTCGTTCCCTGTGTATATTTAAATCAGACCCACACAGTGAATTACATCAAACACCCTTACAAACGTTTATTAGGAGTATATGGGTAAATCCTTTTAATATTATTAATAAGTTTACTTGAAACAAACATAGCAATATTCAAACATCAATTAGTTTTTCTTACTTATGTCTAACATTTCGTTCTGTTTGATGTTTATTTATGCCTATAAAGCTACAAAAATAGATTCAGTGATATTTACCGGTTTAGAATGCGGATCAGCTCTTTCAGCTGCATTACACAGTGCCTTTGCAACTTCGTAACTTGAATGCGTAACCTGAAGTGGTAATCATTAATGTCTAAAAAATATGTTTCTATGACATACCGAGTTTGTTTCGTTTTGTTTTTATTGTTTTGTTGTTGTTGTTTTTGTTACTGTTTTGAGGTTGTTGTTTTGGTTTGGTTTTGGGTTTTTTTTAATTTGGTTGTTGGTTTTTTTTCAGTTCTTATTACCAGTAATTGTTCGCTTTTACGTTCTTTTTCTTTCGTTTTGCTTTTAATTTTTGGTTTTTGCGTCTATCGGCAGGTAATTGAGGCTGGTTATTCTCTGGCGTTTATGTGTTTTAATTACATACAGTAGTATGTTTAATCAAAACGGCATCATTGCGGCATAGTATGCCTTATCGTACACAGGTGCGTGCTACACAGTTTCAAGGCAATGTCTTTCGTGGGTCACAGATAGACATGTTTGGCTGGTGCTGATACCACGCCAAACCCCATGTGTATGTTATCTACCGGTATCAAATATTGATGACAACTGCGGCAATGCATGGCCAGTCTCTATGTCCCATCTCTTGTCATAGTAATGAGAAATACTTGCGTTTGTGCGCGAAATACAATGCTCACTCACTGCTCGTGGAAAAGCATGTACCTTTGACTTCAATATATCTACATTTGGTTCCATAAAATTAAAGTTCTTATTTTAATCAGAAAGACATTGTAATGAATGAACTAATATTGGCAC